AGAAGAAGAAGAAGAAGAAGAAGAAAAAGAAGAAGAAGAAGAAGAAGAAGAAGAAGAAGAAGAAGAAGAAGAGTGGGAGAAGGAGTAGGAAAAAGCGGAAGAAGAGTAGGATACAGTGTACGCGTCTTTTTGAACATCAAACTGTTTACCATAATAGTGTTAGTATTATCTACCATTGCTTGAATTATGTGTATTGTTCTATCATTGTCTCGGAAAACTCTCCCATCCCATTCCACCGCTATTCTCGCACTTTTCACTCCCAAATCTGATTTTCTTATTCCAGTTTGGTTCAGAATGGTCCAAGTCCTGTGGCCAATCGCTGTGGTTTTGGCAGGAACGGCATGGAGTGCTGGCATCTATATTGCTTACAAAATAAAGAAAGGAAAAAAGATCAACCCAAAAGTTCCTCTTGTGTGCATGGCATCGGGCATCATTGCAGGTGAGTGGCATGCTTGTGTCTGATGACATTATTGTGCTTTATCGAGGTTTTTGTTTTGTTCGTATTTTGTTGGTCTGTTATTTTTTCGTCGTGTGTGTGATCTTGCTAAATATCGACCACTCTGTCGTCCTCCCACACGCAAACTAAAAACAAAATTAAAATAAAAAAGCCTACCCGAGAGCCCTTTTACCCAAAACTCTTTGCTTTGACAGATATTTATTTTTACCAACTTTACCCCCCCCCCCCCCTATTGTCAAGGAGGAAAATAGTTGTCTGAGGCAGGTGGGTGTCATGGACTGTGTCATAAAAATAATATTTTAGAAGAAAAAAGCGCAAAGGGGAAAGGGGAGGGGGGGAGGGGGAGGGAGTGAAGGAAGTTGGAAGTGGTCGTTTGTAGAAGTGAATTTCTTGGACAGGTGGTAGTTTGTTAGAACAGACTCAACTGTGCGTCAGAGGATTTTAACAGCTTGGGAAATAAATAACACATTAGTAATTTATTGTGTTCCACGAAGCCAAAAGATTACATTGAAAGTAATCCCACTTACGTGGTCTGGGCAAATATAGAACCAAACCAGGCATATTATAGTACTGAGCTGTTCTGAAAGCTTGTATTGTGTTGTTTGGCATGAATCCAAACGCTTGCTCGAGGTGGTTCACAAACCTTGTGTCCTTTGAACGGTGCCCTACCAATTACCCCCCCCCCTACCTCCCTCCATCCACTCTTCCACCCCCTCTTTTCTCTAGAGACACTCCTAACTGACCTTTCCCACACCTCGACCAATAGCTGCTCCATCCCGAAAACTCACCTCTCTTCCACTCCCCTCCCCCTCATCCCTTCATCATTCTCCTTCTCTTTCCTACAGTCACTACATTATTGATAATAAACCCCACACCCGTCCTACTGCTATTTATCCTTGGTAACTCCCT